AGCCACGCGAAAAGGGCTGCCCGAGCGCTACCGGTTTCACGGTTTGCCGGGCAGCCCCCAGACCTCCAGACCCTGCGACCCAGGCCGGGTGCTTCCCCAGCGCAGCCGGAGCCCGGGAGGGGAAGCGCCCGGCTGGGGGCGCAGGGTCTGGAGGTCCGGGGGCTGCCCGGCAAACTGTGAAGCCGGTAGCGCTCGGGCAGCTCGGCTCTTCAGCTACACAAAGCTGAGGTGTCTGGGGGGAGCAGCAGCAGCCGCCGCCGCAGCGGGGAATCCGCCTGCAGCTCGCAGCCGGAGCTGCTCAGGTAACAGGGCCGGCTCCAGGCACCAGCTTAACAAGCAGGTGCTTGGGGCGGCCAAGGGAGAGGGGCGGCACCTGCGGCAATTCGGGGGCGGCAGGTCCCTCACTCCCTCTAGGAGCGAAGGACCTGCCGCCGAACTGCCGCTGAACTGCCGCCGCCGATCACCGCTTTTTTTTTTTTTCCCCAATTGCCAATTTTTTTTGCTTGGGGCGGCAGAAATGCTGGAGCCGGCCCTGTCAGGTAAGCAGGGGACTGGGGCAGGGATGCCGGCCTTTTCCCAGACATGTTCGACTTTTTGGCAATTCCCCCCGGACGGGGATTTGAGCACCAAAAAGCTGGACGTGTCCGGGACAATCCGGACGTAGGGTAACCCTACGAGAAGTCACAATTGTAGCCTGAGCCTTGCAAACCAGAGCAGGAGCCTTTCCCCACCTTCGAGGGGAGTGGGGGCCGGACTTCAGGGCTGGAGCCTACCCCCCCCTCCTTGAGATTCTCAACCCAGCCTCCCACTTGCTTCCTCCCTCCATGACAGCTCCTGCCTCCAGGCTGCGGGCCGGCGAGCTGGTGCGCCCGGCCAAGCTGAGCTCGCAGCACTTCCCCGAGCCCACACAGCACATTAAGAACATCATTAAGCAGTGCCAGCGGCCCGCCAGGCTCCCCGAGCCCATCAGGTGAGACCCTGCGCCGCCAGAACTCGGATCTCCTGCCCGAGCCCCTGTGGACATCAGCGTCTGATGCTGGGCTGGAGTGGAGCTCACACCCTTAAAGCTGCAGGGACAGCAGCTGGGTTGCATTTCCCAGCCATGCATTAGCAGCAGCAGGGCTGGCTGGGCTCCCCGGATGATGCACCAGCTGGGAGGCTGTGATCTCCCCGCTGCAACAGAGTCCCAGCAACGTAACAGTCTGTTGCTGGCTCAAGGGGCAACCCCTTTAGCTCAGGGGATGAGGCCTCGTGCGCGCACACACACACACACACAGAGAGAGAGAGAGAGAGCCAGAGGCTGCTCACTGACCCTGTTCTGGCCCCTGGCTGTTTGTCCCTGCAGGAAGGAAGGTGGGAAGGTCTTTCTGAAGAAGATGGATCCCCATGAGGAGGCCATGATGATCTTAAAGGGGCAGATGTCAGGGGTGCCGGGCCCCCCAACAGCCGCTCCGGTACGACAGCGCTGATCGGAAGGCACAGGCGGCCGTGCTCCCTGTCGATAACCTGGGGCGCTGCGGGGTGTGGACGGGGAGGTCCAGCTGCTGGCCTGGCGAATGCAGGGGCACGGGGTGCTGCTCCGCAGTCGAGCATTCAGAGTCCCCACCAGCTGGGGATCAGAGTCAGGGCTCCCAAGGAGAGCATGATCCCCAGGCCGGCCACTGCCTGGGCTGAACCCCAGTGCTAGCTGGCAGGGCACCGCACGGGCCAGTGAGTGTCCCCCGCTCCTGCTCATGGCTGTGATGAGGGAGAGCCCCCCAGCCCGGGGAAATGGCCTCACAGGAAGTTGGTCTCCACCTCTGTGTTGTAGGTGGCCAAGGAAGCAGTAGCCATGGTGAAGCCTGTTACCAGCACCAAGAGGCCTTCGCCGCCATCACCAGCCGCTGTTCCCTCACCGGCTGCCACGGCCAGGTCTTCTCCAGTGTCGCCTCCAGGTAACAGCACAAGAGGCAGCGCAGCTTCATCTCCTCTGGGGTTCAGGGCTGGATGCCGGAGCCTCACGCTGTCCTGCCAGGTTCTGAAGGAGAGGGCTGGGCAGGTGGCTTCCCCCAGCCGGCAGCGCATTGCCAGGACCCAGCTGGAAGGTGATGGGAAAGCCCTTTGTTACTGGAGGGCCGAGGAAGCTTAGCCTGGCCTGTCCAAAGGCTGAGATGCCGCTGAGACCATCAGCAGAGACCATCCTATGCAGCGCCCTAGCAGCACTGCCGGAGAGGCCGTACCCCAGTGTACAGAGGAGCCCAGTAGAGGACTTAGCCCTACAGAGGTCTCACACCGCTGCCATCTGGCTTTCAGAATGGCTCCAAATCTGACCTGTCTGGACCCTCCGACCCCACTCAGTGCTGCCCCCAAACGTTGATCCTTTTTGCATTGATTTGTTCATGCGATTTTGCAAAAGTTTAGGAAAAGTATCTGAGAATCCTGAGCCCCTGGGTGGGCCTGTTAAAGAACTCACCATAAACTGCGACATGTTAGGCAAACGAGGCGGTAGCTATACAAACGTGAGGCAATCGGACACCACGGGGATGGGCGTGGGGTGAGAAGCTGATGGAGCAGAGAGCAGCAAGGACAAAGGGGCGTCCCAGAGAGCCTAGAAGAACGGGTAACTTGCACCCCATGAGATCTCCTTCGGGCTACTGGGGATGTAGGTTGCACCTGGGGGCAGACATCCCTAGTAAGAGAGTTTGGCCGAGAGTCAGGGAGTCTAGCGGTACATGGCCTCGCACGTCATCCGACCCATAGACTTTTGCGGCCGCCAAGTTAGGGAACCTGCTGGAGTTAGTGAATGCAAATCTGCAGAGCCAGGAGGCCCAAGACATGAATCCGGGTGGGCAGCGAGCAGTTGCCATTCTGTCCCAGAGAGCCTCTGCTCAGCAGCGAGGTGAAGGGCCCAGGATATTTTCAGAGGATGGGGTTTCCCTAGCAGTGAGGGCTAGGCAGGATGAAGTGACGAGAGATCTTGATCCTCATGTTTCAGGGCATATGATCGATTCCCCCGATGAGATCAGGAAGCAAAGCTCCCCCCATGAGAGAGTATCAAACCATTTCTGAAGAGGGGTTAAGCCAAGCTCCTGATGGTTTATGGCCATGAAAGATCCCCTGGTATCTTCTGCAAGAGTTGAGCCTGGGATCAAAGGGCAAAACCCTGATGCCCAGATTAAATTCCCCCTTGAGTAATGACATCCTGCTTCACTACCCCCCCCCCCCCCGCCAATTTCAGTTGGACACGGCCTTCCCCATCACTTCATGTATTAAACAGTTGTGCAGTGTTGCTGTTACACACCTGCTGCCTTCCATTCCAGAGGTGGCTGTATTTCAGTGGTGGGTGAATTCTGAGTGGTGTTTCTATGTGCTCTTACACAGCTGCCGCCTTCCATCCCAGAGGTGGCTGCATTTTAGTGGTGGGTGAACCGATCCTTGTGTATCATCTTAACTTTGTAAGGTGCGTTGAGATCCTTCAGGATAAAAGATGCACTATAAATCCAAGAGAGCGTTAGTCTGGGCACGATGTGGAACAGGAGAGAAGGAACAGGCTGCACAGTATCCCAGCACCAATACATACCAGATCCCATGGGGGCAGAAACTTGTAGGCTTTGCCACACATGTAGCTGCACTGATACCAGCCCCTGGTGGAAGGCTGGTGCAGTGGTTAGTGCACTGGCCGGAAACCCAGGTTCAGTTTCCTGTTCTGCTACAGACTTCCTGTGAGGGACCTTGGATAAGTCACTTAGTCTTTCTGTGCCTTCGTTCCCCCTGTAGTGACCATAGCACTGCCCTGCCCCCCAGGAGGTTGGGAGGAGAAATGCACTGAAAGCTGCGAGGTGCCCAGATGCTACGGGATAGGAGGCAGGTTAAGTAGGTTGGCTAGATAGCGTAGGCCTGATTTGCCCTGGTGCAGTAGGAAATAACTGTGGCCTAGCCAATGGGCTGCCCCCTGCATCCACAGGAACTCATAGACTCATAGACTTCAAGGTCAGAAGGGACCATTATGATCGTCTAGTCTGACCTCCTGCACAACGCAGGCCACAGAATCTCACCCACCCACCCCTGTAACAAACCCCTAACCTATGTCTGAGCTACTGAAGTCCTCAACTTGTGGTTTAAAGACTTCAAGGTGCAGAGAATCCTCCAGCAAGTGACCCGTGCCCCACGCTGCAGAGGAAGGTGAAAAACCCCCAGGGCCTCTGCCAATCTGCCCTGGAGGAAAATTCCTTCCCGACCCCAAATATGGCGATCAGCTAAACCCTGAGCATGTAGGCAAGACTCACCAGAGAAACACTCAGGAGAGAATTCTCTGTAGTAACTCAGATCCCACCCCATCTAACATCCCATCACAGACCATTGGGCATATCTACCGCTAATAGTCAAAGATCAATTAATTGCTAGAATTAGTTTATCCCAGCATACCATCCCTTCCATAAACTTATCAAGCTTAGTCTTGAAGACAGATATGTCTTTGCCCCCACTGCTCCCCTGGGGAGGCTGTTCCAGAACTTCACTCCTCTGATGGTTAGAAACCTTCGTCTAATTTCAAGTCTAAACTTCCTGAAGGCCAGTTTACATCCATTTGTTCTTGTGTCCACCTCGGTACTCAGCTTAAATAATTCTTCTCCCTCCCTGGTATTTATCCCTCTGATATATTTATAGAGAGCGATCATTTCTCCCCTCAGCCTTCTTTTGGTTAGGCTAAACAAGCCAAGCTCTTTGAGTCTCCTTTCATAAGACAGCTTTTCCATTCCTCGGATCATCCTAGTAGCCCTTCTCTGTACCTGTTCCAGTTTGAATTCATCCTTCTTAAACATGGGAGACCAGAACTGCACACAGTATTCCAGATGAGGTCTCACCAGTGCCTTGGATAACAGTACTAACACCTAACTCAGCTGCCCGTGAGCATTCTGCCCCCAATCTCTTTTCAGTCACAGTCTCCCGGGAGCTCCCGGCCGAGCGCGAGCAGGTCCAGACGCAGCTGCACCGGTGCTGCAGCGAGGAGTTCTACGCCTACCGCAACGTGTCCTGGAAGATATACATCCGGAAAGAGGTACTTGTCTGGGGCACAGCTCCACACAGCCGCCTCCTCCCTCTCCTACCAGACCCACCCGGCCAGCGGAAATCAGCGCCCAGGCCAGACCCTGAGCCCCAAAAGAACTGGCCTGAAAAACTACCCCTTGTCTGTTTCTGTGAGGGAACAGTGCCATCTAGTGGTTGTTAAGGTGCAAGCGCCCCCTAGGAGGAGAAAGTGCATTTCAGGGTCCGTTTTCTCCTTAGGAACTTATGTTCCAAACAGATCCAGCCTCCGTGGGATTCTTTAGAAGGGGAGGGGAGCTTGCAAGGCTGCGATATTGAGTGAAAGAGAGTGGAGAGGTGTTACTGTGGATATGGCAGGGGACCCCAGAGCAGAAGGGCTCACTGCCTTCTGTGGGAGGGGGTGTCGTTAACCTGAGTGGTATTATTACGATTTATGAATGATTTGTTATTGTGGTAACTCCCAGAGGTTCCAGTCAGGGATCAGGTCCCCACTATACTAGAGGCCATGTATATCACGTCACAGGCAGGCCCATTCCTGCCTCTCAGATGTAGTGAATCAGTGAAACTTTCCCTCAAAGGGACGTGGTCAGGGAGTTTAGGCCTAAAATTTAAGTTCTTTATTAAAATAAAAAAGATTCACAGCCCCCTGTGTTATTAACAGAGAGAGTTTTGTGCGTCTTCCCGTCTTTAACTGCAGTATTCGCTGATGCGTTCCCTGGTAAGTGAATAGAAGTGAAATTGACTAGCCTTGGGGTAACCTTTTCAAAAGTGCCTAAAAGCCTAAGTCCTGTTTTCCAGAGTGGCCGAGGCACTTCAGATTCCATGGGACGTGAGTGCTAAGTTACGCAGGCGCTTTGAAAATGTCACCCAGAGTTCCTGTCCTGCTTTGAATGTAATGGAGGAATGAAATAAAGGGCCTAAGCAGTGAAAATCCTTTCGGGTTCACTGATCTCAGCAGCTAGTAACACAAACTGAGGGAATTGTTCACTAATGGATCCTTCCGCACCTGACCATGCCCCTCTGATCTCTTTCCTTGCAGGTGTTCTATCCAAAGGATAACTTCAACAACCCTTTGTTGCTGGATCTCATTTTCAGACAGGTGAGGTTCCAGGCTCTAAATCCAGAGCTTTTCCTGCTGTAGAGTTGTCTGTATTATAAGAGCGGAGGGATAGTTTCCGGCTTAAAGTTCAGGGCTGGGAATCAGGACTCCTGGGTTCTGTTCCTGGCTAGGTCACAAACTTGCCGTGTGAACTTGAGCGAACCAACCCCTCTCCCTATCTCCCTCTCCCCATATGTACTGCAGGGATAGTTCCCCAAAGGGGAGTTTCGAGGGCTAAAGAACATTTGGAAAATGCCTTGAGATCCTCAGCAGGGAGCACTTGAGAAAGTCAGAGCATTGTCAGCTCAGTCTGCTTGTATTCCCTCAAAGTCTGGGCAGGGTGTAGGCGTGCTGTGGAATCATGGGTTCAGCCAGACCCTGGAGTAGGAGGAACCCAGACCCATAGATGTGCAAGGTGACTTCTGTTTCCCAGTCTGTCCTTCTGCAGGAAATGCCTCCCCTTACTCAGCAACGCCCCTGGGAGCCAGCAGCTTCCCCGCCCTGTTCCAAGCACAGGCCATGCAAGCTGTAGTGGCTCAGAACTACTTATTCCCTTGCCTAGGGCTTGGCCTTATTCACAAAAGGAATGTACAATCCAGCCCATGCCTTGTCCCTAGGCTGGGTTGCTCCCAAGGTTCCTCCCTGAGGACAGCTCAGCCCACACCCTAGGTCCTCTGTAAAGAGCCACTCCCACCTCTGTTAAACGCAGGTGGGTTCGGGACCCACTGAACCTTTTCCCAGCAGGATTGACACCTGGGAGTGGTGTGTTTCAGGCAAACTCTGCCCTTTGCAGCCCATTCAGCAGCAGGATTGAGAGGCTTCAGGGAGGCTGGGCCAGTGTTCCTGACCCCTGCACTGTGGCAGCCAATGGGTGTGGGACAGGGCTTACAGGAAGGAGTCAGTGAGGCTGCATCAGGGACACGGAGGCCTTGGCCCTGAAGCTCCTAACCTCAACGTGGTGGGTTCCCCCCTCAGATCTTCCACGACACGCTCTCTGATGCCTGCCTCAGGATCACCCCGGAGGAGCGGCTGCGCATGAGATCCCTCTTCGGTAACGCCCAGCCCTGCCCACTGAGTCCTGCGTCACGCCGAGGGGCTGGCCTCCCCACCGCTGGGGGCGATGGCCTCCTCTCTCCAGCCCGACTTCCCTTCTCTTCCTTGGAGCAGGGGATGTCTAGTGCGTAGGGCAAAGCTGCCCTCCTGGAAGGCGACGGGAGGTTTGCCATCGGGTGCAGTGAGGCCAGGTTTGGCCCCCGCAGCCTTTCACCTCCTGGGCCAGGGTTTAGTCTGAGCTGGGACTCGAATGTCACAAGTTCTGCTTGTGTTTGGCCTGCCCTGGGCATTAAGGGGTCTCCCAGCCCCCGTGGGAAGGTTGGGTCCCCGGCAGCGACAGGGAGCTGTTGTCTTGTGCGCTGGTGGGAAACGCCTGCTCTGTCCCATGCTGGCTGGGCCGTACCACAGCAAGGAGCAGAGCTCATACCCCCATGGGGAAGTCCTTGTTCTCCAGCTGGACCCCCGTGCCCAGATTCCCTTGCCCCAGCAGCAGATCTGCTTTGGCCGGGGAGGGGGAGCCAGCACCTGACATCTCTCGGGGGGGTGGGGGGGGTGTTTCTCACCACAGCGGAAAACAAGCTGGACTCATTCAGCCCGGTGGCCGATGACAGCGTTAAGAAGGAGATTGTGATTGCAGCCCGGGACGGCTGGGAGGTTTACTTCGCACGCCTCTTCCCCGCCACGGTAAGGGCCTGCCGCACGCCCAGCATGGGGATAGTCCAGGGGCTGGGACAGGTCTCAGCAGCAGACCCTGATGTACTACGGTCTGATGCCCCTGCTGCCCGTAGCCGCTGCTCTGTGCTGGCCAGGGGATGCAAACCTCCTGCCAGGGACTGTCAGATCGTCCACAGGCCTGAGGCCGTTGTGGATTTAGAGACAGAATTGTCAGTGCTCCTGGGCTCCTTGGGGTGAATCAGGCAGGTTCCCTGCATTTCCACAGCGGAAAGTCTCTGCCCAGCACTGCTGCCGTGCCAGTCCAAGAGGGCTCATCGCTGCACGGGGTGGGTGCTGAGATTCATTGGTTTGTCCTTCTATCCCCAGGGCAGCGTTGGCACGGGGGTGCAGATCCTGGCAGTGTCCCACACGGGGATTAAACTGCTGCGGCTGGTCAAGGGCACCAACGTGCCCGGGGAGCAGCTACGGGTGCTGCGGGGCTACAGGTAAGGCCGGGGCCAGCCGGCCTCCCTAGGGCTGGAACTCCTGCGGCTCTCAGGAAGGGGATGCGAGCAGAGGAGCCAGCCCTGCGTGCACCTGTGGAGAAGGACTGGCATGTGGCTGCCAGCACCCCGCTGTGCTGGAGGGTCAGGCTGGGCACATGCTGCCTGGCATTGGCATTGGCACTGTCACACCACGCCAGGCAATTCCAGCCTCCAGCCAAGGGCCTGGCGGTTCCTTGCCAGTGAACAGGGGGTGCAGGGCTGAAGGAATTGCTTTAATGGATTCAATTAGACAGAGAGCCACTTCCCCGTGCAGATCCGGCCTGCGAGCTTCCTTTGCAAAGTGCTGTGAACAGTAACACACACACACACACACACACACACACGACCATACACATGCGCACACACACACACCTGTATACACACACACACACACACACAAACATATACGCATGCGTGGCTGCACAGAGACACAAATGCAAATAGACACACACATGCACCTCTGTACACACCTATATACACACGAGCCCACAGACACTCGCCTATGTACACACCGACACATGCCCACCGAGCCAGTGGGTCAGTGCCTGCGGCGCTTTGGGATCCCCAGGAGGAGAGGCTCCGAAGTGTGATTTATCCTTTGCTGAATACGGTCCCGGTGTGCCTCCACTGCTCACTCCCAGTGATGGAGTAAAGGACGGGCCCCCCAGCGATGCCCCTCACTCCCCGTGGAGCTTAGCCCTACAAGCCAGGACTCCTGACTCCTAGTCCCCTCAGCTCCATCCGAGTCCATGGCAAACAGGCAGGGTCCAGTGGCTGGAGAACATGGTGCATGGGAAGCATATGTGGTGTCTTAGTTCTGCCCTTGATCTGGCAGTAAGACTAATCTCCCCCTCGCTGCTCTGCCCAGCCCTCTGGCTTTCTCAGCTGTGCTCTCCTAGCCTGGTTTTTAACCCCGTCCTTTCCCCCCCACAGCTACACCGATATCCTGTTCGTGACCATCCCCTCCAAGCAGATGCTGGAGTTCAACCTGACCAACGAGAAGCTCATCCTCTTCTCCCCCAAAGCCCCCCAGGTGAAGGCCATGATCGACTATTTCATCATGGAGCTCAAGAAGGTGAGAGGCCGACCATGGGAATGGAGGCAGAATGGCCTCTCTTGGCCTCTCCCGCACCCAGTCCATGGGGCAGGGTCCCCAGCAGACACACGCTGTGGGATACTGCCCTGTCCCTCGCCCTGCTCACCTTTGCCTTAGAAAAGCTCAAGCTTTTATGCTCCTGTCTTGGTGCCAATGAGAGCCCCCTGATCTGGCTGCCGGAGTGAATCAGCCAGAGAGCTCTACACCTCCATACAGAGCCCCAGAACCGGTCACCTGGCCACAGTTGTATATAAGTGTGTTCAGATGAGGGTAGTGTGTGTGTGTGTGTGTGTGTGTGGCGGGGTGGAGGGGGTTGTACTCTGAGCAGGCTGTGTGTGTGTTTGATTGTGCAGTTATACTCTGTGTGCAGGGTGTGTCTTTGTGTGGTTGTATTCTGAAAGTGAGCGGGGTGTTGGATGTATGAGTGTATTCTGTGTGTGTGTGTGTGTGTGTGTGCGTGCGTGTGCGCGCAGCCCCCCGCAGCAGCCCCAAACCCAGCCCCTCTCCCACGTGCCAGGACTCGCAGTACGTGGTTGCCGTGAAGAGCTACGTTACAGATGACAGGAGCCTGTTGAGTTTCCACAAGGGGGACATCATCCACCTGCAGCCACTGGAGCAGCCTGAAAGAGGTGAGCAGCCCGGGACGCTCTCTGCTGGGAGCCACCTCTGGGGCGTCACGGGGCGGTTTGCAAAGGAGAGGACGGGGGCGTCTTAGTAGGGGCCCTTTTCCCCTGCATGGGCGCGATGAGCTGAATGGGACCACCCAGCCCCCCCTGTCCTTCTGGGCCTATAACCTCCTGGGCCACCCACCCCCGATAGCATACATCAGACTGTGAATGACATCTGCTCCCCCTGCGGTGCCACTCTGCAGTCCCTCCACTGGGGCACACAAAGGGAACGCTGCCAGCCACCTCCCCAGAGAGCAGAGTGCTGCCCGGATCCTTCCCCAGCCCTGGTCGCTGTTGGGCAGCGTGGGGGGATGGAGCTGGTTGGTTGGGTGCACTTAGCCCTGCCGCAGTGCCCTGAGGCTGTCCCCTCCCCACAGACCACTGGCAGGGATGTGTGGTCCGCAAGAAGGTGACGTACCTGGAGGAGCTGAAGAGGGGCACCCAGGACTTTGGTGGGTGGCTCTGGAGTGTCGTGTTGTGCTGTCCCTGCGTGAGCCCTGTCCCCCTGCGCCCATTCTCCTGCGGGGCTCTCTCCTCTGGAGCCAGCTCGCCCCGCCCCTCTGACGAAGCATGTGCTCTCCAGCCCACCCCAGGCGATGAATCCCAAGGACCCCACTGCGGCCCACATGGCCAGACCTCATTCCACTGCCCGGGGCTGGATCAAAGCACCAGGTCAGGGCGTGTAAAATATCCTCAGGGCGCTTCCTGGCCTGCCCCTTTCTGTCACTGTAACACACTGACGTAGTGTGTTGTGTCGCCCTCTAGGGGCCAGTCCATATACAGGACAAGCGCCTACTATCGCTACCAGCGAATGGAGTTCCTGCTTTACCCTGAGCTGTAGAAGCCTGTGCTTGTGGCACTGATGATCCATCTCCCATGCACAGGCCTAAGGGCACAGGATGTTGTCAGATTTCCAGCTGCTCCTCTAGTGGTCTCTGTGCCCGGGCTCTGGCAAGAGATTGGGGAAGCTGGAGCCCTGGTGTGTCCACCAAAGAGAAGCAGAGCTCCCCAGGAGAGACTAGCACATTCCAGGCCCCGAGAACCCCATTAGCACCAGCTCCCCGTGGGCATTAGCCTGAGCAGAGCGCGCTCTCCCGGATGCTCATGGGGAATGGACAGGAATCGGCGCGAGTGCATCTGGAGAGGATGTCGTTATGCCATCCCAGGGGCGGTTTTGTATGGGGCACGCAGCTCCAGCGGTTGGCACTCTAGGGGGCAGGCTGAGTGCAGGGCATGGGGGTTATTTGTCCAATGGCCTCCAGACAAGCCGTTGTAGAACTGGCTGGCGTCCTAACAGCCCCATTGGCCATGCTCTCGATAACAGTCCATAACTATAACCACATTGCTTCCCCCTACTGGCCTCCTCCATGCATGGCCCACTCCTGTATCTGGTTTGTGCATGTAATCCTGGTCCCTAGCCCGTTCAGTCTCTGGGGGGAAGCGCTAGCCAACCCCAGGCAAACAGCAGGTTGCTGCATGCAGGACAGGATGGTATATGCAGTGTGCATGGTCCCCAGACCCCTTGTTTAAGAGTGCGGTGCAAAAGCAAGCCTATGTGGGTCTCAATACCAGCCATTCCGTCAAACGCTGTGGCTGGATTTTCAAAGGGGGCTGGCTGTGTTTATGGTGATTCTGCCTGCTGAGATACGGACAATCAAATCTTGTGCTTCAGGACAGGTCTCTGCAGAGGTCAGGAAGGAACCTTCCTTCCCTTCCCTGAATGCAATCACAGCTCTGGCTATGTGATGTGTCTTTATGGGGAGTTTGCACCTCCCTAGCAAGCCCCAGGCATTGGCCACTGTTGCAGGCAGATGCTGGATTTGAGAGACGACATGTCTGCTCTAGGGTAGCAGGGTGTGGGGTGCTGGTTTGAATGGACAGGTCTAAAATGGTAGAGGAGGGAGGCAGGAAACGGGGCTGGATGGACCGATAACCGGGCCTGGTGTGGCAGGGCGGCGGTACAGGGCTGGATGGACTGATAACCCGGTCCGGCACAGCAGGGAGGGGCGTACGGGGCTGGATGGACCAATAACCAGGCGTGGCAGAGCAGGCAAGAGCGTACAGGGCTGGATGGACCGATAACCGGACCTGGCGTGGCAGGGAAGGGTGTACGGGGCTGGATGGACCGATAACCGGCCCCAGCATGGCAGGCAGGAGCGTACGGGGCTGGATGGACCGATAACCGTGCGTGGCACAGCAGGGAGGGGTGTATAAGCCTGGCTGAAGTGTGTGTCTGAGCTCTAGGCTGTTAACGACATGTCCCGGTTCAGGGTGGAAATTCGGTGCCATCCATGGGAGGTCGGGGCGCTTCCCCGCCGAGTACGTCCAGCCTGTGGCAGCCCCAGATTTTATCCACCTGCCAGCGGACAGGAAAGAGGAGCCCAAGAACAAGCAGGGCAAGGTGGCGGCCTCGGCAGCTGTGGCAGTGGCCGTGGCCTCCACGGCCGTGGCGCAGGAGCTGGACAGGAAGATCGAGGTGAGGGACTGTCCCCAAGTAACCCTTGCAGTGCTGGAAACTGGGAGCTCTCAGAGGGCTGGGGTGGGCGGGGAGTTGGTCGGGGTGGGTGGCAGGGAGGGCCTGATCCTTGAGGCTGGTTAAGCAGCTGGGTAGGAGGCTAACTGGGGAGGGAGGCATTGCAGCTGGCACAGGGTGGGCACTGATCAGTGGGCGCCAGGAGGATGCAGCCGCAGTGTCTGTCTGTTGCTTCTCTGAGGGTTAATGGCTCTAGGACCCATGGAGTCGTACGCTGGCGGCACGGGTGCGTGTTGCACCCTCTGCAGCCCATGGTCCCCCTCTCCCCAGGTGTCCCCCGTGGGCAGCGACTATGCGGAGAGCGTGGAGGAGTATGGCGGCGAGCTTCCTGGGGACAGTGCCCTGCAGGGTGGGCAGTTCCCCATGCAGGAGTTTGCCAAGAAGTATTTCCGGGAGGCGCAGAGGACAAAGACGTGAGTGCTGGCTGAGGGGAGGGGAGTGACTTTTAACCTTCCAGCCTCCAGTGACCCTGTGTACAATGAGTTTGGTGGGTCTCAGCCCAGTTCCCAGTGGGACAGTAGCCACGTCACAGAAAGCACCATCCTACGTGGCGCTAACTGACCCCGGGTTGGCATCCTGGGGCTGACTGCCCCGCTGCGGAGCTAGGCTCAGTGCCCAGCCCAAGGGCTGCCCGTGGAGGCAGCATACAGAGAAGGAAGAGCGACCTCTCTGGCTGATTATGGAACTGCACCGATGGGCTTTCCAGTCAGTCCAGCTGCATGCCTGGCCCTCGTTCTACTGCACACCTGGCACTGTTCCCAACGCAGCCTCCTGTCTGCGCTTGCATGGTCATTGGCCTGTGTGGGAGCTGCAGCCATCAATGCTAGTGCTTGCGTGTCAGCTGGGGTAGTGCTGCTGATCAGACCCGTATATGGGAGCCCGCGGTTTGTGGCGGGTGCCAGAACTTCAGGCACGGATTTTGCAATTGCAGCAGCAAAAGGGAGGCTGTTCTTGGGCCCACAGCGCCTATCCGTGGGGGAGGCGGATGTGCTGACCCCCGGGGGATCCCCCGTCCCAGCCCCCAGCAGTTCGTGCCCAGAGAGGGACCTGTCATTCTCTTTCTGCGATTTGTTCCAGGGATTCCTGCAAGCAGAAATCCCGGAAAGGGAAGGACTCACCGGACGTAGCGGAGATGCTGAAATTCACCAAGGTAATGGGGATCGCCTAGCTCGCTGCGCATGCTCTTTGCTGGAGAGCAGAGTAGAGCACCCCCCTAGCCTCACCACCTGCCGATTTCAGACTATTGCCCCCGCCCTTTGCGTTAGGGCAGCCCCTGCTGGAAAGGGCATGTGGCCTCCTGGCCCTCTTACTGCCCTCCACATGGAGCCGACCCAGAGAGGCTCAGTGCCCTGCTAAAATCCTAGAGTGTCTCTCCCCTCTGGGCTGTTGGTTCGAATCCACCGGTGGGAACGGAAAGCTGTTTGATGACCTCTGTGAAATGAACATGTGGACGCCATTTGGCTGCTAGGAGATGCGAGTTCATTGCAGTCATTTGCGATCAGCGGAGCTGGGACAGGCCAGGGGCTGAGCAGGCCACGGGAGATGAATCCTGCGGGCGGGGCTGGCTCAGCAGGCCGGAAGGTCAGGCTGCACCTGATCTGTGGCTCAGTGGAGGTGCTTGGTCTCCGGAGGTGTCCGATACGGTCAGGAGCCGTTTCCGCAGGCAGGTGCAGTGTGGGTTTGCTGGGGAAGCCTGTGTAGCGTGGGATAGACACTCATCAGTTCCAGAGGACGCCTGCCGGCTGTGGATGCAAACCAGATCTCAGGAGGTTTCCTGGCTCTGCCTGAGGTGCTGGTCCCTGCAGGGTATCGGTAGTAATGCACCGGTGGTTTGCAGTCCTCATTCAGACACCAGTAAACTCAGCTCATGGGCTGGCCTGAGACCAGGGGACTGCCTAGTGACCAGTCCCCAAGGGACATACCATAGCGCCCTGTGCCTCTCTCGGGCTAGGCTCTTCGCTCCGTGTCCTTCTGGTGGGGCCCCCACCTGACGTGGAATTGTGCACCCTCCTCCCGCCCCTTCCCCCCATGTCAGGGGCTCTGTGCACCCTCCTCCCGCCCCTCCCCCCCATGTCAGGGGCTCTGTGCACCCTCATTCTTCCTGTCCCCCCATTTTCCCTTCCCCCTCCATCCTAGGGTGTCCCCCCCCCAATCTCCTTCCTGCCAGGGGCTCTGTGTGTCCCCCCTTCCTCCCCACCCTTCTTTCCACCTGGGAGGCCAGTCATTGGGTGCTGCCCTGCGGTGCTCTCGGACGGCTGGGCAGAGAGGAACGGGGTATTGCTGTGTGCGAATAGGTGCCATCAGCCGGTCGGTTGATCTCCAGGTGCAGTGAGGGGCTGGAGGCCGTGGCTCTGCTAAACCGATGGCAGGGGCTCGGTGCCCGCGGGCTCACTGAGCGTAGGGCTTGGCAAGTTCAGCCGCTAAGCCCAGCAGCGTTCCACGCTGGTAACTGATGCAAGCTCTGCTTCTGCTCTCCCCGGCCAGTGCCCGCTCCAGGAGTCGCTGATCGAATTCCCTGACAGCTGCCTGAACAGAGCCGCAGCCGAGGCCTTCCAAGGTGCGTGGGAGGCGCTCGGGGGAGCGGGCACTGGGCAGGCTGCGGGGCGGAGGGGGGTGGAGGGCAGGCCGTGGCGCCCCATGCTCAGGGGCGTCTGAGACCAACGTGCCCAGCAGGAGGTGGCCTTCTCGTGCCATTGCCTGCTTCGTGGGACGCCCTAAAACCTTGGGTGTGTTAGTGAGAGTCCAGCTGAAAACTCAACCCCCGTGAGCCTGCTGTCCCCTGCCCCCCGCATGGGGCGCCGTGGCCTGCCCTCCGCCTCCCTCTGCCTGCCCTCCACCCCCCTCCACCCCGCAGCCTGCCCTCGCCCCCTCCGCCCGCCTGGGGCGCTGCGGCCTGCCCACTGCCCCCCTCCGCCCCGCGCAGGGCGCCATAGCCTGACCACTGCCATCTTCTGCCCCACGTGGGGCAGGGACAGTGAAGCTCAAAGACCTCACCCCAGGTGGGGCACTGGAATCTCTGCTGCCCCTACTCAGGAGTGGGCTGAAGCCGGCCCGTGGGCCCAGATCTGGCAGTTTCCGACGGGCTGATAACCAGTGAGTCAGTGAAAAACCAGGAGTCTGGGAGCCAGCGCTCCAGGAGGCCCCTGGGACTGGGGCCGGGGAGGGAGAGCCCGCTGGGGCCGGGGAGGGAGAGCCAGCTGGGGCCGGGGAGGGAGTGCCCGCTGGAAGGGAGCCAGGAGGTTTGGTGGCTCTGGGTTTCATTTGGCCATCCTCCTCCCCCGCCAGTTTGGGGGTGCTGTGAACTCCTCAGCCCCTCCCCCGATCTGGGGCACTGTGACCTGCTCTCCTCCGGGTCACAGGACCCACCCAGTGGGTCTGGAGCCAGGAGAGCTGCCCCCTTGCTCGGGGCAAGGGAAGGCGGAGCCTGTCACCAAGCGTTGGTTTGTCATCCCCAGCCGTGATGAAGTTCATGGGCGACTGGCCTCTCAAGGGGCAGACGGAGCTGGACGTCGTCTGTGCTGTGCTCAAGGTACCTCCCTCCCTGGGGAGCAGAGCAGGACCCCCAGGGGGGGCTCCGGGTCAGTGGGGTGGGCCCTGCCCTGCAGCCCCAGGGCCGGTGGTGGGTAGCGAGGGCAGCGCTCAGCTTGTGGGCCTGCCTGCAGCTCCCAGCCCGAACCCCTACCCCGCAGTCTGCAGCTAAGCGGGGAGGAGGCTGAAGGTGGGGGCAGACGGCTGCATATTGGCCAGCGAGGGAACAAGCCACGTGGCCCGGGAGAGGCCCCAGGAGCAGGCTGCAAACTGCACCCCTCCGACCCAGCAGCGGGGGGGCAGGGATGGCAGCCGGCACGGTGGGGAAGCAGTTACAGCTGGAGGGGCAGGGGGCTCCCCAGCACCAGGGCAGTGACGCCCGCCGGTGCCTTTCTGTCTCCAGCTGTGCGCTGACCAGGAAGTCATGAGGGATGAAGTGTATTGCCAGATCGTCAAGCAGACCACGGACAACACCAGCCCCAAGATGTGAGCAAGTCCCTCCCCTTCCCGTGGTGTGGGGCCCGGGCGGGCCTTCTAGCGCTGCAGCCCCACCCTGTTCTCCCCTCCCTGGCCAGCTGGCCTGGGCTGTGTGGCCTCCCTAGTGGAGGGTCTGGGGGGGAGAATCCCAGGGAGCCTCCTGCGCCCCCAGTCTGGTTGGGACTGGCTGATAGTGTCACTGCGGCACGATGGGCCTGGATGGGTCAATATGGCTCCTGCCATCCTAGCCACCCCCGCAGTTGGGAGAGCCTTCCTTGGCCACTGGAGGTCCCGCCCTGCCACCCCCCTCCATGTTACAGCACCACTCCGGGCCCCTGCTCTCTCCCCTTCCCCTCGGCTCTCTCCTCCTCCTTCGCGTCTTCGTTTTACTCCTCCAATTCCTCTTCCTCGTCTTCTCCCTCTCTCGCCACATACCAGAGCTGATGGGGCAGGGTCCCACCCGCCTGCCCGGAGGCCTGGCATGGAAGGGGGTAAGGGGCACAGGTTCCAGGCCTGTCCCAAAGACTTTCTTGGGCTGAAGCTGCACTGAGCAGCCTAGGCCTCTCCTGCTCTGAGACCTCTTTCCCCCCACCCCCCACCCCGCCCCGTGGCTTGGACAGGGACAGCTGTCAGAAGGGATGGCGGCTGCTCTATATCCTGACCGCCTACTACAAGTGCTCTGAGGTCCTGAAGCCCTACCTGCTGTGGCACCTCCAGGAGACCTGCAGGAGCCCGGGGGCGCAGTTCCAAGGTAGGACGCTCGTTCTGCAAAGCCGGGAACCCCGACCGGACTGGCGTGGGGGCCTGTTCTCATCAGATCTTACCTGTATTTTATCATCTTCCATCCCCTCCTCCTTATTAGGACATTTATAGATCCTCTCCTAAGGGATGTCCGAACCACGTGCTCCTCTGCACCTGTCGACTTTCCCCCAGCCCTTAGTTTAAAAACTGCTCTACGACCTTTTTAATTTTAAGCGCCAGCAAGCTGGTTCCATTTTGGTTTAGGTGGAGCCCATCCTTCCTGTGTAGGCTCCCCCTTTCCCAAAAGTTTCCCCAGTTCCTAATAAATCTAAACCCCTCCTCCGTACACCATCATCTCATCCACGCATTGAGACCCTGCAGTTCTGCCTGGCTAACTGGCCCTGCGCGTGGAACTGGAAGCATTTCAGAGAATGCTACCGTGGAGCTCCTGGACTTCAATCTCCTACCTAACAGCCTAAATTTGGCCTCCAGAACCTCTCTCCTATCCTTCCCTATGTCATTGGTACCTACATCAAGGTACCTCCCTCCCTGGGGAGCAGAGCAGGACCCCCGGGGGGGGGCGCTCTGGGTCAGCAGGGTGGGCCCTGCCCCGCAGGGCCGGTGGATAGCGAGGGCAGTGCTCGGCCCGTGGGCCTGCCTGCAGCTGTCAGCCCCTGAGCCCCTATCCCGCAGTCTCCGGCTCAGCTGAGAGGAGGCTGAAGGTGAAGGTGAGCTATCATCACTCCCCTTTACAGACCGGGAAGGTGAGGTACAGACCAGCGGAGCAATTCGCCCATGGGCACACCGGGATTTCCGGGCTCCATTAGATCACCTGCCCCCACGTCCTGGGCTGTGCCCCTCCCTGGTTGTGCCCAGGTGTGTGTTTGATACCACGGGCCTGCTCCTGGAAACCATCAGGCCAGTTCTTGTGTGCCAAGGCTCGGTGTAAACCCTGCGCCCAACCCCTCTGTCTGCCGGACGTCACGAGCTCAGCTGCCGTCCCAGCCAGGATGAGGCTGCCTGGAAATGTGCTCCGTCACCACCACATCGGTTTCCATAGCAGCGAACATGTTTCAAAGGAGCAGGGCAGGCACTTCATGCACACTGGAACCAGGCGCCTGCAAAATGGAAAGAGAAGCGGAAGCAGGACAGAGCCAATAGAATCACAGGGAGGGACAGGGCGCGTCAGGAATGTTCACCGAGCCCCTTTCCTCTGAAGAGCAGAGACGAGGTGCGGGGGAGAGGGATAGAGGGACACTCCCGGCTCAGCCCCGTACAAGGGGCATGGCCTAAGCCCAAACCTGAGGGCTAGGAACTCTGGAATTCCAGACCCAGCTCTGACACCAAACTCCCCGTCGACCTTGAGCAAGTCACGTCCCCTCCTCGTGCCTCAGTTTCCCCCTTGGCGACAGGGGAATCTCAGGCTGGCTTCTCTTATTCAATCACTTGGATCACGGTGGCCTGGACGGTGCAGCAGGTGCTGCCCCAGTCCGATTGCTGCATCGGGAACGAGTCTTAACGCTGGTTTGCACGGTGCTGTCAGTGCCGGACCAAAAGCTGCACCTGCCCTCCGCACTTTGCATTTTAGGTCAGACAAAACCTGGCATGCCCCGGGGCGAGATGGCTAATGCTGAACCACTGGGCCCTGGTGCTGGGGACACTTGTCTAATACAACTGAGCCCCACTCACCTGTTTTTCCTGGGGTGACCCCCAAGCAGCCCTCGGACGGCACCGGCTTTCCGTTACTGCTGGTAGCAGCCTAGCCGGCAAAGGCTCCGTGTTCCAGTCTTGTCCTGGCTCGGGTCTGGCCCATCACTTTGGAATCCCACTCGCCCCCCGTTCCCCATTAGTATCCCACATGCAGATGTGAGCCCCGGCCATTGCCTGCGTGTGGCCGAGGAGCCTTGCTGAAGAGCAGGTTAAGGCTGTTCCCTGTGACCGGTGGGGTCTAGGGATCGTGCTGTTTGTCCAGCCCAGAGGAACGGGGCTGCGAGGATGGGGAATTAGCAGCATTTACACCCAACCTCAGAAATCCTGTTTGGAAACAGCGCCAGGTGGGCTTGCCCAGGCCTGTCCTAGAGCCATTAATAAATGGCAGCGCTGCCCATCTGTGAAGCCTTTATCAGCCAGCCCGTGATTCCCAACCCAGCCACCACTTATTTCCTCATTAAACGCTCCAGGCTTACAGCTGTTTAAATGGCTCTCAGGGAGGAGAATTGTCTGCAGTGATAGATTGCCCCAGCCTGGCTCCCGGCCAGACCCGCTTCAGCTGCCGTTAATGGGACCTTCTCCCACCGGCTCTGCATCCAGGAGCGGCTGGGAGGGCAGGGCCCACTGGTGCCAGGGCGAGGACTGAGGCCGATCGGGTGATGCTCACACCCGCATCCGAACCTGTTCTATGGAGCAGTGCAGGCAACGCTGCTGGACTAGCGGGCTGCGTGGCCCGTAGGGCAGGGGCTGTCTTGTCATTATATGTGTGTGTACAGCTCCTAGCACAATGGAGCCTGACCCCTAATCAGGGCCACTAGATGCTACTGCAGTACAATGGTAGTCAGAGCACCAGAGCCTCCGCCGTGCCTGAGGCAACATGCCTGGCAAATAGGGGAGGGGCAGGGGGGAAAAGTGGGGACAGGAAATGAAATAAACAGGGCTGTCAAGCGATTAACGCAATTAATCGCGTGATTAATCGCACTGTTAAACATGAATAGAGTACCATTTATTTAAATATTTTTGGATGCTTTCTACATTTTCAAATATATTGATTTCAATGACAACACGGAATACACACTGGGCCGTGCTCACTGTATTTATTTTTGCTTATAAGTATTTGCACCAACAGAATACAACACAGAATACAATATATATGAAAATGTAGAAAAACTGCAATTAATCACAGTTCATTTTTTTTGAGGTAATGGCGTGACTTAACTGTGATTAATCGGCAGCCCTAGAAATAAACGTAAGCTTCGATTACAGAGAAGTGCTACGATACCCCCCCTTCCCCCCGCAACACCTCATGATTTTGGGGTTGTTTCCCCTCTGAACCGGACCTGAATTTCGTTGTTAGCCACTGTCTCTGTAATGAGCTAAAGCCACGCTCTGGGTCTGGCCTGGTTTGGGGAGGTGGAGGCCTGGAACCCTGCGCTGTGCCCGGTGCCCGTCTCTGCTTTGACGGGGCTCTGGTGTCCGTCTGTTTAAGGGATCGCGAAGGCCTGCGAGCAGAACCTCAGGAAGACCTTCCAGTTTGGTGGCCGGCGCGAATTTCCCAGCAGCATGGAGCTCAAAGCCATGGTGGTGAGTCCGGAGCTCACGCAGGGGCCCTGCAATGGTGTCAGCGTGCACCAGGCGGGCACGTGGGGAGAAGGCTCTCTGAGGGGCTAGACTGGGTCACAAACAGCTCACCTAGGGGATGGCATGGGACTGTACCCCTTGAGCTCCCTGGGCTTACAAAGGCCGAGTTCCTCCAGGGGGCTCCACTTTCCGGGCTCCCCTGCTATGACCTACGCGGTTTGTCTGTGCCTTGCTTCCAGCTGGGAGGGCTAGAACGGGGCTGAGCGGGTGGCTACAACTGTGGGTGGCTGCAGCCAGGGCGTGTTACCCCTGTGATGCCTACGGTAGGGCTGGGGGGAGGAGAGCAGAGGCCTTTCCGTGCTGGCAAGGGCTGAAATGGACAGGAACTTGCAAGGATGGGGATGGTATAGGCCTGACTGCCCTCTTGTGAAGACGGCTTCCCGCCTCTCTGAAATGCCCCTGGTGTCTAACCGAGTGGTGCTGGAGCCAGACAGAAAGCGCATGGGGATTCTGCTAGGCAGAATGGGATCCCCCAGAGGAAATCTCCCTGCGCCAATATGGGAGAATCTAGCCTGGGGTCTTTAGCCTGGCCTCTGGAGCCGATGGATGGCTTAACGGTTCGGAAACCTTCCTGCTTCTCTGTGCTTTACCCCCCAACCAAGGCCGGCCGGAGCGCCAAACGCCAGCTGTTTCTCCTGCCGGGAGGGATCGAGAGGCACCTGAAGATCAAAACGTGCTCGGTACGTCAGCACAGGGGCCCGACACTGCCCAGATCCCCCAGATCCCACTTGGGCTGCTCCCGCAGAGCAGTGATGGAGACGAGTGCGGGAGCGGAGAGAGCACCAAACGGGAGCTGAGCGCAGCCCCTCCCCAACAGCGGCATTAGGGAGAGCTCCCCAAAGTCGCTGATTTCCCTTGGGGGGGCTCCAGGGGGAAGGCAACGCTTCCAGGCAGCGTCCCTCCCTGGCGCAGTGCCAGGTGGCTGCAGCACGGGCCAGCTCAGCAGCACTTGGGCGGGGATAGGACACGTCAGAGCTATCGGTTTCACCTACAGCTGGGCCCAGGCTCCAAAGGTCAGCGCCGGGGCTCGCGGGGTCCGTAGGCTCAGAGGGCGGGAGAGGACAAAGGCAGGGGAGCGGGGCTGATGTTTAAGGTTTGCCCAGAGTGGAGCGTTTTCTCGGAGCCCCAGTTAACCCGAGGCGGCTGGCACCTGGCTGCCCACCAAAGGCATGTGCAGGTTCTTGTTACCTGAGGCTGAACCTGCTGCTCTCTCACCTGAGGGGGGGGGCGGGGGAGATCCCATGGGGTTGCCGGCCCGGCCCTAGGATGGAGCAGCGAAGCACCCAAACTTCTGCCATGTCTCTGAACCCATGGCAGATTCCCCTGCTGCTGCTCCTCATGGCCTGCTCCTGCACGCTTAGCCCACACTGGGCACGGGGTGCTCAGCACCTTGTGGGATCAGGCCATCCAGGGCTTTGCCAGACAGCCAGGAAGGGGTGTCGCTCCAGGAAGTCCCACCAGCAGTGCTGGGAAGAGACCACGGTGGTGGGGGCACAATGCCAGCGCTAGAGCCTCCTTCCCGGCCTTCGAGGGGCTCAGCTGGGTGGTTTGCCCCTCTCTAGGTTGCGCTGGACGTGATCGAGGAGATGTGCTATGAAATGGGGCTGCATCGGCCCGAGGCCTTTGACGAATACGTCATCTTCGCTGTTACCAACGGAGGTGAGGCTTGGGGGCAGGCAGGGGGTGGCTCTCCCCATTTTCTCCTCTGAAGTGGTCCCATCCCAACCCCCGAATCCTGCCCAGCGGCCTGCCTCTGCCATTGGCCATTCCCATATTGCATGCCCACCGACAGGCAGCCTGAGCTGACCGGCGTCTGGCTTCCCCAGGCCCGCAGGCGGCATCACAGCAGGTGATGGCACTCAAGTCCCAAATGCATTGGGGGGGGACTTCCTGGCTGACCTGATTTCCATGGCCCGCCTCCAGAGACTAGCCATGGGCAGCAGCCTCTTGGCTCTGAGCCCTGGTGTCCCTCCTCCTTCAGGGAGTAACGGCACAGGCCATTGTTCGGATCAAGACGCTGCCCCATGAAGAGAAGAGAAATGAAACCCCATACGGAATGAAAACACGAGAGAGATTCACTGCCTCGCCCTGTTGAGTATTATTGCCTAGAAATCCCAGTTGAGCCATTGTGCTAGGCGCTGGGTGAGCATCTAGGCACAGACAGGCCTGCCCTACAGAAGTTACAGTGTAAACAGGCAGAGGGTGGGAGGGGAAACTGAGGCACAGAGCAAACAAGTGACTTGACCACTGTCCTGCAGCAGGTCAGCTGGGAATATCACCCAGGCCTCCTAATTCCCAGTGCAGCGCTCTGCCCACTAGCCCACATTGCCTCCTGTTATAACTTGTATGAAAAGACAAGCGTAGGAGGCTTTCGCACCTGGCTAAACACCACGCAGCTCCTGGGCGTTGGCTGAACAATGCTGTCTCTTGCCTCATGAACCGGCTGTCACTGCTGTTCCCTGCCAAGTTCAGCGGCTACCCTGGGAGACTGCTCAGGGGGCACTGACTGCATTGCTTGTGAGGGATGTTTTTATCTTGATGCTGTTCCGTTAAGCCCTTTGTGTGTCCAGAGGTAGCCCCGTGTGATGTGCATTCCCTGCTGAGGTGAAATACGGCACCGAGAGCCCGCTGCCGCCCTGAAGAACGGGCAAACGGACCCAGACAGCCATTTCTGTGCCAGAGTAGTTTATTCCTAACTGCCAGTGGCTGCCCGACAGCGGGAGCACGAGGCAATCGCCAGTCGATCCAGCGCCCAGTGATGCTCCCTGGCACAAGCGAGGCCTGCCGCGAGCGTGGTCCTAGAACACCCCTTTCTGGGCATCCTCTGGCAGCGCCAGGCCCCTCCAGCCGGCGTCGGAGCTGAGCTGCCGGGCTTGGAGGCACAGAGAGGATGGGAAAGCCACAGGCAGTGACGGGAGGAGGAAAGCGCTGTCCTTTCTCAGCGGCCGCTCAGGGCGGGTGAATGGTGCCAGGGTCGCAGCCCTGGCGTTTCTAGGCACAGGACGGGCACAGCGTAGACAGCAGCCGTGCAGGTTCCACCTCACCCTGCCCCAGTGGAGTGTCCCGTCCCCTGGGGCTGTCTGTGGGCTTGTGCTGCCTTTGAGGGGTGCCCTGCTTGGTATTTTTGCAGCTTGCAGGGCAGTGCCAGGAGAGGGAGGTGGATTATTGACTTCAGCTTTCTTCTGAAACGCTGAAAAGGCAGGAAATGGTTCACGGTCTCCCTGCACTTCCTGGGGCCGAGCCCCCGCTTCCTGTCTGTGCCTCTCCACAGCTCCCGGCCGCCTCGTTGGCTTGGCTTAGGCTAGCCAGTGGCCTAGTTAAAGTGTGGGCGGGGGAAGGGTTGTAAAGGGACCGTTGGAAGGGCTGTGTGGACGGGCCCAGAACCACCAGGAAATAGCATCTCTGAGTCATATCCTGCTTTCTGGGAAATCACTGCATCACCCTAGGAATGTCACCCGCCTTCTTAGCCCCACCAACCCTCTCACTCCCTCTCCACTGCTTTTTATGGGGATAGTTGAAAGCCTCTTCTTGGAAACGGAGCCCCGGGGCTCTAAATGTGGATTCTCCACTGTCGATCTGATCCCTGGCTGAGGGGCTGTGCCGTGAGAGGGGGCGGCACAGTCCAGTGACACGGGCTCCTGGGATCTAATCCTAGCCCTGCCTCCGACTTGTTCTGTGACCTGGGGCAAATCAAGTCACCGCCTCCTGCCTCAGTTTCCCCATCTATAAAATAGGGCTTATGACACCCACATTCATCTGTCTGTGTAAGGGCTGTCCTGAACTCTGGAATTATATCATGCTCTCAGGAGTTACATGGATGATTCCAAGTGCCCCAAATCCTGAAGCGTTTAGAGCCGACCTGCAGAAGGAAACGCGAACTCAGCTTGTGTCCTTTTGGGACGACGTGTAAAGAAGGCCTGGACTTTTATTTTAAAGGTGTTTTGTGGGCTTTTTTCTGCCTGTTTTTAATCTTAGAACTATCAGGAACGGTCAGTCTTGTCTTCCCGGTTTCTGACGGGTGATTGAGGCTTGGTCTATACGTAAGACGTACCCCAGCGTAGCTATGTCACTCAGGCTAGTGATGTCCCCCTGCCGCCAACCCCCCCAGAGTAGACTCAGCTATGCCGCCATAGCTAACGTATGGGGAGGTGGTATCTGCCAGGGTTAGGACAATCTCCTTCTGTCAGCCTACGCTGCGCCTTCACAAAGGGACAACGCCAGCGAAGCGGTGCTGACGGGCCTACGCCGGCATAGGCTCTGTCATGTAGACACAGCCTCAGAGATGGGGCCTGGCAGCGTTCTCGGCTTTCAACGGAACGGGCTGGGTGGTTGAATCCTAAACAAACAGAGCTGTTCTCCCAAGGGTTAAGTAGGTGTGGACACAAACCAAAGCGTCAAAGAGTAGCAATGAATCCAATTTCATTGCTCTGCATACACCATTCAGTTCTCCAGCCAGCTTTACCCTTCTGCATTGGAAAGGAGCAAAACCAGAGCAGCCCGGCTGGCCTTTCCTTGCCAGGCGGCCTTTAAAACTAGAGCCACACAGTTGACTCTTCCCCTGTGCTCCCCATAGGTCAGAATGTCCGCCCCGTCAGCAGACGGGAGTATATCCTTGACGTGGCCACGGAGATGGAGCAAGTGGACAACAGCTACATGTTCTGGTACCGGCGCGTCATCTGGACCCAGCCGCTGAAATTTGACAACGAGCTGTATGTCACCATGCATTATAACCAGGTAGCAGCTCAGATCCAGCCGGGGGCAGAGGGGCAGTTGCCTTAGTTTAAGGAGGCCCTCGTCCTCCTCCCTTCCCTGGAGTATGGGCTCAGGGGTGTCTGAGGAGCAATCTTTCATAAAACCAAGCTCCTGACCGCTCGCGGTTATTAAAGATCCCCTAGCCCCTTTCTGGCAGAGCAGTGGGGTTAGCCCTGGTGTCTCAGCCAGATTCCACTGCCAGGTAATTAGCTTCTGTCTGCCTAAACACCCCCCGTCTGGAAAAACGACGTTAAGGGAACATTAGGCAGGTTGCAAAGCCAAGCCCCCCAAAGTTAGGAAAGGCCAGAACTGATGCGGCCTGGGTGCAATCGTCATTCAGCCAGCTTGTGCCCGTGCGTTATGGTACAGTCTTTCCTAACCTGATCACGTACTATTTTTTTCCACAGGACACGGCCTCATTCAGTGCACAGGATGGATGGTTTTCACTTACTGAGCAGCTATTCAATATTTCGGTTTCTCCGGGTTGTTCAGAGTCTGGCCCCAGGCCTTAGCCGCTGCATGCTATCCAAACCCAGCTCTGAAGACAGAATTATTCATTCCCTCATGGGCTTTTTTCTCTGGCGCTCATCACTGTAGTGTCTGATCGCTTCGCAGACATTAGTGGATTTATCTTTAGCCCTGTGACGTGGGGATGGTATTATCCCCATTTTACAGCTGGGGAATTGAGGCACAGAGAGATTAAGGTAAACAATTTCCACTAATTTTGGGTGCCCAATTGGAGACACTTAAGCCCTGGTTTTTCTGAGTCCTTAGCTCTGTGTGTTCAAAGCCCAGCTCCAGTTGTGAGCGCTCAGCACCTCTGCAAATCAGACCCCAGGGTGTCAAGTTGGGCACCCAGAAAATGAAGCGCGCACAATCAGTGACCACCTCTGAAAAGTTTGGTTTAAGGGACTTGCCCAGAATCAGAAAGAAATTCTGTGGCAGAGGCAGGGGTAGAATCCAGTTCTCCAAGGCAGCTTTCAACCGCCTTAACAGTGAGATCCTCCTTTCTCTTCCTGCAGTCCTCTGCCTCGGTCACTACAGACCTTTTCACTTCTACAGCAAATAAATCAGGATTCAACAGACAACAGCCTCCTTCATTACACAACCCTGACTCATCCCCAGGGCAGATCCATCCTGGGCATTGAATGAAGCAGGAGGCTTGTGGAAAAGATAAGATGTGATTGTGTAATTAACGTCTGTATCATACTGTGCATGCACAAGGGGGCCACATTAAGGCTGCAAAGACCCCCTTCATTCTGGCACTTTCTTTTTCTTTAAGGGATTATTAGTAGTATTTTATTATTTAAACTGTACTTTGTATTTATTTGTTGATTCTGGCATTCTCTAACTTGTGTGCTTGACTTGGCAACCTTAACAATGTTCTTTGAATGTCATTTGGTGTGTGTGATTTACTCGGTTTATTGACAAGCAAACTGAAAAAAAACCCAGCAGTTCCATCATATTGCCACCCGGGTGGGTCATCGGCAGGATTGGAACCTTTAGATCCATCGCCCAGACATCTGCCATGTGTGCTAATGGAGTTACTGGAGTCCGTCAGTAGTAGGTTGTCATCTTCTGTGTGAACCAGCACTAGAGGGGGTTGGGACTCTGAGCCAGAAGGTTTCATGGATATTTGCTGACAGTGGAGGAATGGTGAGACTCAGGGATCTTGGGTTCCATTCCAGCCTCTGGAGGGGAGTGTTCTCTGATGGGTGCAGCCTCTATGCCTATTTCCCTCAAGCTTAGGGTGACCAGATGTCCCAATTTTATAGGGACAGTCCCGATTTTTGGGTCTTTTTCTTATATAGGCTCCTATTACCCCCCACCCCCATCCCGATTTTTCACATTTGCCGTCTGGTCACACTACTCAAGCTAGACTCCTGATGTCCCTTTCCCTCCAACAGGCTGACATTCTTCTCCTTGCCCCACTCTATCCCAGTCTCCTTGCCCAGCTGGTCCCCCGAATTCCCCTAGTTCCTCCACAGATCTCAGGTGCCCCCCTCTGCCCTGGGCATCCCCCCCTGACTCTTCAAAGTGTGTCCCCTGAAGAGTGGGTGCGTGGGTGTGCCTGCACAGTCTAAGACCGCGATTCAGGAAAGCATCTCCGTTCAGGAAGGTACTCAAGCCCCCACGCTTCTCTTTGAAGTCCATGTGAAGTTCCGTGCTTTGCCACTATCTGCATCATGTAGTTGTTATGCCGTGGCCCTCTCCGTGGTATCTGACTGCCTGTATGTGTGTGAATGCATTCACACCAGGACGTGCCCTTCCTGGGCATGTCCCATGGAGCCCAACAGCTCCCAGATCGGCTCCCATTGACTCCTGATGCGCAAGTGTGACAAAGCCACGCCCGGCATGCTCTGTATCTTCTTTCAGGTCCTGCCTGATTATCTCAAGGGGCTTTTCAACATCCTACCTCCCCTGCAACCCAGCGAACAGCAGTGCCAGCAGGTCTCCAAACTGGCAGCCCTCCAGCACCGGGCCAAGGACAGCATGTACCTGCCCACCATGTAGGTACCCTGGGCATGGTGGCGCTTGGGTGCTATCCTGCTAATCACGGCTTGTGTCCCATCATGGTGTGTTCGCACCTTAGTGAGTAGAGAGCCCCGGCTAGTGGCTGGAGCAGAGCAGCCGGAACTCCTGGGTTCTGTTCCACACTTTGCTGCTTACTCATCGTGTGACCTTGGGCGAGTCACTTAGCCTCTCTCTGCCTAATGTTGCACGTGTGTGATACGTACTGCCACCTCCCAGAGCTGCTTGGCTCCATTGTTTGCAGAGTGCCTCCCGGTCCTCAGAGGGCGCGTGCTATAGACAGACAAGGTGTCATCGGCATCGGTATGACCTGACAGGCCACCCCAGAGTCTGTCTTCACTGCAGTCAGCCCAGTGTCTTATCTGGGTTTTGCCCCTAACCCACCTCCCATCCACACACACACAACCTCTCAGCCGAGTCTAGTGGTGCTTTCAACCCAGGCTAGCTGGCCTGGCTGAGGCTCTGGGTTCGAGTCCAGGTTCTGCTTCCACTCAGGCTGCTAACGCACCCACTCTGCAGTGAGGACATTGGCTAAAGAGTGCGGTTAGTCCTCCAGTGCCTTCCCACAATTCCCCCCCATGCTCAGAAGGACAGACAAGTTCTCCCACAATTCACTGGGAAAGAATTATAGAGCGGCTCGGCTGACTGCAGCACCAAGAACAATGGGGCATCCCCCCAGCAGAACTGGTGAGACACGGGGAAGGGGGGCACAGCACCAGCATGGACACAGGAACTCGGGTTGGACGTTGCAGTGGGGCTGCTCACACCAGGGCGGCGCTAAACCCGCATGCTCTGACCCTGGTGCTGATCACCTGGGCTGTCTGCGCAGGACATCCCCCCACAGAGAAATGGTTGCATGGAATGAGAAGATTCAAAATTCCGGTCTCAAATCAGAGCACTAACTATTGCTGTTGCAGTGAATTAGATCCCACATGTACTTTGGGGGCTGGGGAATTCCTGGAATTTGAGTTACTACAAAAAAAATCTCCTGGAAGGTGAAGCTTTTAGAGGAGTGCAGAGAGCTTGCAGAATTGCTGCCCCGAGGGGAAAGGAGAGGGAGACTTTCTACCACTTACATAAGCCCTAAATGAGAAGAAAGATGAACTCACGTAGGAATTTCAGTTCCAGACCAAATGCCAAGGACTGAGGGGCTGTTGGCCTAAGGCTGCTTTGTGAACTTGGGTTTCCTGGTAGCAGTGACCTCGTGGCTTAACTCCAAAGTCCTCCAGTCTTATTAAACTGAGTGCGTAACTGCTGTGACCCTGCCCTGCAATCTGATCCATGTGGGTATGCCTCTGCAGAGCCCCACTGACATCAGTGAGATTCCCAACAGGTGCCAGGGTCCATCTACACAGATCAGCTTGCAGGATCTGGGCCTACGTTTGCCATGTATTCAGACTGAACTCCGTATATATGTGCTTGTCTCTGGGTGTCAAGCTGTAGGACCCTGCATGGAGGTGCAGAGCTGTTCTGCTGACTCTCCCTGGTAACCAGACCAGGTGAGTCTCATTAGCACCACTAAGGAGCAGATCTGCTCTGCTGCAAGAGACAGCTAGTGGGAAGGGCAGGAGTCCTGCAGGGGGAAACACTCATCAGCCTGCTCAGGAAGGAGGCCCCAGTCCCTCAAAGACTTTTGCATGTGATTTAACTGGGTTCATAAAGCTAGGCGTGTGCGTGAGTCTTTGCAGGATGGGGACCTATGCTCAGAAGCACACTCCTGCTGTGCGGTTTTGTTATTTAATGGAGGCAGAGCCCCAGCGCGGGGGGGGACTGAGGCTGGACAATACCCATGGTGAATGTGCTGCATTAGGAGTGGGGTGGGGAGTGTCCCCTCCCCCCCGTCACTGCATGAGAATGATTCAGGGATGAGGGACTCCCCACCTCATCAAGACACCGTGGGACTTATGAGTAAGGAGCCCCCCTGAGGGCTGAGCTCCGGCTGCTATTACCCAAGAAAGGGTCTTTGTTCTTCCCACCCCCTGGTTCTGTGCTGCCCCGGTGCTCAGCACGTACCCTGAGCTGGGGGATGAGTGGGCAGCGCTCTCCCGCAGTGGGTTTTCTGTCCCGCGACGTAGGCAGGGAGGCATTTGCCTGGAGCTGGCTGTGACCTTACCCTGGCTCTCCCCCCCCGCAGCCACGAGGTGCAGGGTTACGTCCCGCCCCAGTTCTGCCGAGCGCTGAAGGCTCAGTCGTGGCTCAACGTGGTGCTGCAGCGTATGCCACAGGTCCAGGCCCTGAGCGCCCATCAGGCCAGAGCTCAGTTCCTAGGTAAGCCGTCCCTCCGCCGGGACTGGGGCGGGCTCGCGCGGGAGCCGCTGCTGGGAGTCGGCCGAGCCGAGGATTGGGGGAGCGTTTTTAGATCAGAGGGGAACGTGGTCAAAGGTGGGGCAGGGCCAGGAGCGGAAGCAGCTGAGTGCTGCCCTGGTGTTGAGGGGCACAGCAACAGACGCCCCCTCCCTCCATGCCACGGCTGGGCCTTTGCAGCCCAGCTCTGGGTGGGTCTCGGCAGTGCCCCCCGCAGGCACCTGCCATGCCCTCGGTGCTGCCTTGGGCGTCCTGCCTTCTGTTCGCTCGTCAGGGATGCAAAATGTTGCTGCCCAGGCCGATTCCCAAGCTGGGGCAGAGGGTGGGGAGGAAGCAGGGAGGCTCTTGCTCTGGAAGAGACAGTGTGTGCCGTGCTGGGTACCTGGCATGTCAAGGGAGGGGCGAGTTAGAGTCCCCCGGCCGTGCCCCCCACCCCCACGCCCTGAGCCATCAGCCAGATCTCCAGCAGAACCTGTCCAGCAGGCTCAAAGAGCCCAGTTAACCCCCCTCCCGCCTCCATGGCTAGGCCCTGGCCTCTACCGGCATAAACCTTCACGAAGAGCCTCGTGGGGGACAACCTTCCCCTCCCCTGGGGGCACGTGGGAGCCCAGAGGAGGCGGGGCTGTTTAGAAGGGGGTGTGGCCAGATGCAATGATTGATCATCTCCCTCCCTTAGCAGCTTCCACCAGGGCTGCAGGTCCGAATGCTGCCCCCCCTACTGGGCAGTGGCAGTACTACCACCTGCCCCAATGGGGAGGATCAACCTGTCCTAGAGGGGACCCCCTTGTTTCCCTTGTGGCTATGTCCCAGCCGATCATGGTGGCTCAGCCCCAGGGTCGGGTTCCTGGCTTTGCTGACTGCACGTCGTCTCCGCAGGGCTCCTGAGCGCCTTCCCCACGTTCGGCTCTTCCTTCTTCTACATCCAGAGCTGCAGTAACAACACCATCGTCTCGCCGTGCATCCTGGCCGTCAACCAGAACGGCCTCCACTTCCTCAACAAGGACACCCACGTAGGTGTGGGGGGCAGCAGGCCAGCCCCTCGCCCGGTCCCTCCAGGAGGTGCTTGCTCCTAACGTGCAGGGCGCAGTTGCAGCCGAGGCCTGGTCTACCTGGGGGCTGGCTCTGGCCAGCATGGTGAGACTCCAGGAGAGCTCATTGGGCCTGGAAAGAGCCAAACTGCCCCCGCCCCTGCAAGTTGGCTCAAGGCCTGCTGCCCCCTCTGAAAGGACAGAAGCATGTCGGCCAGGCCCGTTGGCTGCTGGGTGACGTCTGCCCCGGGAGGGCTGGATCCAAGAGTGGAACCCATCGGGACTGGCATCATGCGGGTTGGGAGTGGGGCCGTGGGCTCTAGTACATCACAAAGAGGCCCACCCCCCACCCCTCCCCCGGGCTCAGCCGTGCGACTCATAATACGGCAGTGACCCGTGTGTTAGACACCGGAGCCTTCACTCTGTTGTGCAGTGGATTCAGGTGACAGCTTAATTCTGCTGTCACTGTGACCTGGCCGTTGGACCGGGCTAGAGGGCTAACCCCAGTGGCCCAGAGAGGCAGGATGTCCTGTACATAGAGTGCCCACCCCATTCTCAGTCTGCCTTTCAGTGCAAAGCTATTGCCTCATGATGTACGGCAATTTCCCCAAAGACTAATGGAGGTGAATTATTCAGGGGGCCCAAGGCAGGGATAGCTACTATGCCTCATTGTTTCCGTGTGCTCCCCCGTCCCTCTGTCTGTATCCATCTGTTGTTTCCTGTCCTATGCTCAGATTGGAAGCTCTTTGGGGCAGGAGCTGTCCTGTGTTTCTGGGTTTGTACAGCGCCTAGCACAGAGGAGTCCTGGTCCATGACTCGGGCTCCTAGGCGGGATTGCAGTGCGAATGATAAACGACAGTAGCCGGGAAGGATGGGATGAACTGGTAGGAAGGAGCTTGTAGTCCATACATTGGGGCCGGGTCCCCGGTGGGGCGCGCGTATGAAGGAGCTGCGCATCCATCCCCAGGAGCTGATTGTGAAGTTCTCGCTGAAGGAGATTCAGTCCACGAGGACCCAGCGGCCCACGGCCGGCTCCAGCTACCCCTACGTGGAGATCGTGCTGGGAGACTTGATGTCACAGAGGATGACACAGCTGCAGCTGGAGCAGGTACGGAGTGCAGTTAAGCGGCTTGCCTTTCCCCCTCTTTAACCCCCTCAGCCCTGCCTAGATTCAAGGCCGGGCGCAGGGTAGTGCCAGGATGTGCTCAGGGGATGGGAGGGCCATGGCAAAGGCTCCCACGGTGTTATCGCCTCCGCTGAATTCACATGGCCATTTAGGCTCTTAGACTGTAATGTGACTCCTGATGGTTGGCTCCCCGGGGATTTGTGGGTCGAATGGCACAGATCCGAGGCCCCACTCCCCAGCCATGGGGCTGGCGGGATGCAGCCCAGCCTTCCTGGTTCCCCTCTGCAGGGGGCAGGATGCCAGGAGCCCATCCCACCCCATCCCACCGCACAAAGCACCAGGGAGGGTTTCTGTGGCCTCTGGGAGCAGAGAGTGAAGGGTGTGGAGCTAGCTTGCCCCCTCCCCACAAATGAGATGCGCTCCAGAGGGCAACATGGGCCCTCTGCACTGCACTCATGAGATACCCTGAGCCCCTGTATTACAACACAGTAAAGACAGCAGTGTCCCTGGCCAGCGGGTTGGGGGAGCACAGAACCCCACCAGGGTGAGGCTCAGGGCAGGGAATGCAGACAATACCCCACAGAGGTCACTCCACGTGACTCATCCTCTCTACAGCCCCCTTAATTCTCTCATTGTCGCTTCTCTTCCTACTGTCTTCTCCTGGCTTCTTCACCCGGATCTCTGAAGCTAAACCTTCAGATGGTAGGTAGCCGCTGCCTCCCTGAGAGAATGCTTGTGGGTTGTGTTTGGTGCGGGTACAGAAATACAGTAAAGCCAGCACCGTCCCCAGCCTGTCTCTTCCGGGATCACTGCACAAAAGTGCTTCCGCACGCACCACATGCTCTGCATTGGCAAACTAAGAGACACATCTTCAGACAAGTTAGGTGTGCAGCAGCACACGCAGTGAGTGTGCGTTTGTGCTAAGCAGCCTGCTCTGCGTGTGCAGTTACCCACTTTTCACATGCAGTCCTGGTAATGCCACACACAAACTAAGCACATCATTACAAGGAGTTCCTCATTACAGGGTTTGCTTTTTCCCTGCCTAATTTGCTTGGACAACCAGCGCATGGAGGCAGCTGCTTAAATACAAGGGAATCCAAGTGAGAAAAACTCGGGGTGCATCTGTGCTGCAGTCAGAGGTGTGATTGCAGCCTGCATGGTAGCGTCGATCAAAGCCAGCTTGAGAAACAACAGCAGTGAAGCTGTAACGAGAGACTCCAGCAAGGGCTACTTGCTCAAGTATCTACCCACAGCCTTGGCCGAGGTTGGGCCACCCAGGCTGCCGCGGCTTCGCTGCTGGTGTTACTCAAGGTGGCTAGATTAAAGCTATCCCAGGTACGCCTACCCGCGCTGCAGTCAGAGCCCCCGATTGCCATCCAGATGTATCCTCAGAGTCTAAAACCCAATGAAATCCTGGCTCTGCCAGATGCCAGCTGGCCTAGCGGTGTCCAAAGTCTAATGCCCCATTGCATTCTCCTTTTAACTGCAACATGAGGACCCGGTAGATCATCTACAGGTTTTTATTGCTGGTGGACTCCTGCAAGGAGCAATTTCTATTCATCTCTCCAGGATGCAGAGGGGAAGGTGGCCTCATGGTTTAAAGCCCAGGACTGGGAGGCAAGACAACTGGGGCTTGTTATTACACCTTTCCGACGCTCTCGCTACCAGTGTTCGGAGCTGCTCAGTGTCCCTTCTTGGACCAGGGCCGTGTTACACTAACTGCGTATAGTTTTGTAGCTCAGTGGCACTGCCAGATATGGGGAACGTGGGAGAAGCAGGGGATGCTCTGGTGCTGCCTATTGTGATGGGTGGGTTGGGCAAAGGGCACCTCCAGTGCTGCCCCATGTACAAGGCCAGCGGTGTGAGGACGTTTCATAGGAAGTCCAATCAAGCGCCAATGGGAGGCCACAGCGGAACAGTAACTAGAGGGAAGGACCAGCAGGGAGGAGGAGCAGAAAAGCAGAGAAGCTGGGTATTGGTAACCATTACGGGCTCAGGCCTGGGAAGTGCTCCCAGCGACAGCAATAGGCGTGGGTGGCGCTCAGCACCCGGCAGGAGGCACTCAGCACCTCTCAGGATTGGGCACTGTGAGTACAACCGGCTCACACAGCATTGTGCCCCTGCCGGCAGGCACCACTTTCATTCCAATGCAACAAAACAGTGAGTCCAAAGGCAGCAAGGCACTCAGGAGGTGCATGCCGAGGGTTTGGCATTCGGCTTTTGCCACTGCGAGATCGGATGCCACCCAACAAAATGGCCACAGCAAATTTCAGCACAGGGGTGTAATTCATTCTAAGTCTTGCTGGGGGGGAACTAATGCTTGGGGGTGCGGGGAGGGTAACCCGAGTTAAAATGCTGTAATGCGCCATTGTGCTTCCTTCCCTCTTTAGGGCCTAGAGTTGTGCCGCGTGATCGCCACCCACATGGAGAGTCTGTTGTACGCTCGCGAGAAGAGACTCACCCTCCCGCCCAGTGAGATTACGTTGCTCTGATCAGGCATGTTACACACTCGCACACTCCCTCCCTAACAGCTACTTGAGTGAAAGCCAGCATGGAGATAAGCAAATATCTCTGTGTCCTGGGAGAGGCAACGTAGACTAAATATAGACACTGATGGGACAGATTCCCAGCTGGTTCGAGTTAGCATAGCCCCACTGATTTCAGTGGCTTGGGGCTGGGATGGGGGACTTACAGACCATATGTGAGGTCTGAGCAGTGAAGAGCGTGGGGAATGCAGTCTGGCCAGTTAACAGGTGAACACAGATGCCTTAATTTATGTTTAATAACTGCCCTCCTGGACATAGGGCGTGACCTTTTTCCAGAATCAAATGTATTTAATCCATTATTTTAGTAGCAACATATTAACAGATTGTCTTTGAGCTGGACATGCCCAGTTTTGCACATCTGCCTGTACCAAGGACCTGGCAATCCAACTGCTCGCGTGGTGCATACACCAGATGGCTTTTATTTGTGTTCGCTCCCGGTTTTTTGGTCTTGTTTGTCCTGTGATCTAATTCTCATTTTTATAAGTGTCATTGGCGCCTGTATTTGTATACTGGTCTGTAGCGCTGGCCCTGTAAATGGCTTCCCGTTTTTGTAACTTTTTTGCACTCAACGTTGCTTTGAGATTTTATTTTTGTTTCTAATTTGTGCAAAATTAAAAATTCCTTTTAAGTCCACAGCCGCCTGTCGTTTGGGTGTGCTGGGGAACCAAGTTGTTTCTCTTTCCTCAACCCAGGAATTGTTTAAGCAGCGGTTCTCAACTTCATCGCCCCCTTCTGACAACAAAAATTACTACAGGACCCCAGGACGGGGAACGAACCCGGAGTCCAACGGAGCCCTGGCCCCCCGGAGCGGGGCACAAACCAAAGCCCCATCTCCCCAGGCCGGGAGGCCAAAGACGAAGCCCTTGGGCTTGGGCTTTAGCTTTGGTCCCGGCAAGTCGAAGCCAACCCACTTTGAGGTCTTGACCCCCGGTTTGAGAACCGCTGGTGTAGAGCCAAGAGAGGAGCTTGCAGTCTAGCTTCAACTGATTGCCAGTGAACCCTACTGTCAATGCTAGTCTAACCACCTCATAGACATTTATGCCAGGACACGAGTGTTTATGGTTAACCCTAGGCTGTATCCTAAGACAAATGTGTGCCAGGACTAGACTACTATTTACAATCGTGTTCATTAACTGGCCGTCAGTCAAACGCAGGTTAAAAGAGGTCCCCAAACGCTAGTCCAGACGGATCCCCACAGAACAGTGGAGCGCTCGATGGTCATATTTGCACTCAGGTTCTGGTGACATTCGAGGATCGCTGCAGCTTCTCTGCTGCTAGCAACAGAGGCGGCGCTAGCCTAGACCAGCCACAAGTGCTTTACCACCATGGCAACTAGGCCTTGAGAAACTGCAGTTTGTACGCTGCGATTCACTGAATCCAGTCAGGCCCTTCATCTGAATCACCGCATTTCTTTACACAACGGATGATCATGTGGTTAAGGCACAGGAATCCGGGTTATGTGCATGGCCCTGCCAGACTTCCCACGTGACTTTGGACATGTCCCCTAGGGATTACTGTGGCATTTAAAGCCGCGTCCAAGCTGCAGCGATAGCGCGAGCGTTTGCCAACGGAGCCCCTGCCCTATTGTAAACACAGAACAGCCTGGGTTGGTGACACGGCAGATTGTCTGCAAGGGACTCATAGTTAAAGGCTGCCAGAAACTTGGCAGACCCAGCAGCAGGCAAAACGTTAACAGCGACTCCCAAGAACCGAACCAGAGAGCTTTGCATAGCATGACCTCGCCGTTCACCACGGACAGCCTAACGGTGTTACGTGAGCAGCCAGGTGCCCAGGGAGTTCTGAAATTCCCACTAGGAGCCTAGCTGCCTCTTTAGGCACCTAAATCCTGGCCCTAGGAGCTCCTAAACCAGTGAGTTCCTTGAGGCCAACGCAGAGGCTCCGGTTTCACATCGTACTGTTGGCATGGAGTGGGCTGGGGTAGGTTTGCTTTGCTAGAGGCTGGGTGTGGCACTCCCCCAATGATGGGAGAGATGGAGAGTCTGAGCTGGGGCACTGGCTCAGATCCAGCTCGAAAGCAAACCCCTATAGCACAGTCTTGGCAGCCTGGAAGGCAGGATGGTCCAGTGGGATGGGTGCTGGCCTGGGACTCAGGAAACCAAGGTTCAGTTCCTCATTTACCAAACTTCCTGTGTGATTTGGGGCAAGTCACTTCATCTGTCAGGGGGATAAAGCACTTCTGTGTCTGACAGGGGTGTTGTGAGGAATTAGTGACTGGGAGGTGCTCCGACACTACTGAGAAGAGGGCCAGCCAAGCACTCAGGTAGAGAGATTAGCTCTCTTCTCCATCGCCCTTAAAGGACCTGTCCAGCCTTGCTCCCACTGAAGTCCAAGACAAAGTTCTTATTGGTCTCAGCTGCAGCATTGGTCCCAAAATGTACTTTATGTCTGGTATAAAATTTGGGACCAAAATTGGAAGGGATAGGGCGTTACCAGAACTCAGGACACCCGCAAGTCACTGCAGGCGCCTCTCCCAGCCTTTCTGAAGGAGAGAAGGATTGTTGCGGTGCTGGTTCGCCCAGCCGCCGATAATCTCAACAAGTGGGACTGTTTGTTGGCAGCTGCAGAGCGGAGCTAGTTTTGGACTCAACTTCTGTTGTGACTCACTGGCAGGATCCCCCAGGGTCTGTTCTCCTGCCTCCTGGTAAAGCAGCCCTGTGTATGGCCATGTGCTGGCGGAGAGAGACTTCCATCCACTTCCCTGAAACTGGGGGGGCTGGACACAGTCAGCAGGGAAAGAGCAGAGCCGGGCAGGGAGTGAGCTCCCCCTTCTGTCCCCACTCCGCTGCAATTGCTCACTGGGGAAATCATTGTGTGTCTCTTTTTCCTTGTGTTTCTCCACCCCGCCCCCAAGCCTGACATTTCTCCCGCCCTCCCCCCATCACCACCGACTGACCCTGCTCCTTTGGAGGAAGATGCCAGCCTTGGCAGTACTGCTCCTTGGATCAGCCAGACACGCTTGCCGGGTGAGCTGGTCTTTCCTCTCGCTGGGGCTGAGTCGCTTGGGTGCAAGCTTGCATCCTGCTCTCAGACCCCCGTTGTTTGACAATAGACAGTTGGGCTGACCCAACTGCTTACTAGGGATGTAAAATGTTAACCGGTAAGCACTAGTCTTACCGGTTAACCCGTCTTAACCGTTAACCCCTGGCCGGCCGACCCCAGTGGTCCCGTGTTAGCCAGAGCGGCCCCAGCCACACTGCATGGCCGGAGCTGTGCCGCCTGGCCAGATCGGCCCCGGATGGCCCTTTAATCAGTTAACCATTTAAACGAAATATTTTTAATCGTTTAAATGGTTAACTTTTTAAACGGTATTTACATCCCTATTGCTTACGGTGACTCCTCGGCTCACAAAACGGGTCTCAGGACAAGTTCTGAAGCCATCTGCCTGGTACTGGTCTTCCGATCTCTCCCTAGGTCTCTGAAGTCACTTTCCTAGCCTGCTCAACCCTTACCATTGTCACTTCCCTTCCATTAGGTATAGACAGTGAGGAGAGGATCTTAACCAGCCTTCTTCAGGGCAGATGGAGAAGGAAAATACCAGAGAAGGGTAGAATAAAGTCGCCCAAGAGAGGTTCTATCAGATGTTCAACTGATGCTATACTTCACCCTAGCAGGCTGAGGAGAAGCAATCCATGACTCCTTGTAGCCCCTAGGAGCCAGTGCGCACTCCATCCTATTTCTCCTGGCCGTGTTCTAGTCCATCATCTCTGCAGCAGTCACTGATGCTGATTAATTGCTGCCTTCTCCTAAACATCACCACTTGTCCTTCTCCTATGTCCGTTAATTAATCATTTACTAGTCACGTAACATCCTTGCGTACGGCTTGCCCAGTCCAGCCTGCGAAAGGAGAGGAACCAAAACTGCAACATCATCCACCTCTAGTAACTTTACACAGTGGTGCGCCAAGTTAGGACAAGAATGTGATCAAGTTCCTAGCCCGAATTCAGCCAGTGCTCATTTCCGTATATGATCCGTGCCTCAGGATGGGTTCATTTAAAGCAGGAAATTAATCTATTGACAGGTAATATTGTTATAGTATAGTTCTGTCTTGTTTCCCAACTAGATTCCCGAGCATGGCTGTGCACAATGATCAATAGCATATCATCTGGGTCTGGAGTCTACAGCTTTTATGGGAAGCCCAACCTGCTATAAAATGTTCTATTTGAAGTGGGTTTTATCTCAATAGGTTTCAAAGTAGCTTTTCTCCATCAAGAGAAAGATTCCAAAAGTTTGACTTATAGCCCAGTTCCAAACTAGAACTGTTGTGGTAAGTTGTCTTGTTTGTGAGAATGAGGGCATTACTCGTAAGTTTCTCCAGTTTATTTTTAATTTTGTTGATGGCAGAATGTTGAGCGACTGGTTGTTGGGGAATCCCCCTCGCCCCACGAGACATCGGCTGTTTTTATAGGATTTTGGTGTCAAACTTTCTGGTCCCATCATGTCATCTTCAGGCCATCTCAAAACAGGTCTTGGGTGTGCGGAACTTTGATTTTTTTGGAGGGGAGTCACAGACACCAGTCCCCAGGGCTGGCGCAACCCATTAGGCGACCCAGGCGGTCACCTAGGGCACTACAATTTGGGGGGCGGCGACCGCGGTGGTATTTTGGCGACTGGACCTTCCACCGCCTCTGTGGGGGGCGGCATTTCGGGGCGGGACCATCCGCCGCCTAGGGCGGCAGAAAAGCAGGCGGCACTCCTGCCAGTCCCTGCAGTATGCAAAACTCCAAATACTTTTGTAATTGCTGGCCTTAAGCGGCCTCTTCCCAAAACTGACGCTCACTATGGATGACCTAATTCGAACCTGACTGGCCCAAGTTCCACAGCTCCAATATCAGCCTGGCACCTGATTTGTGCAAAGGTCTTGGAGGGAGGCGTCGCAAGGCAGAGTAAGCGGAGTTCGCAAACCGTAAGGCCAAGAAGCCTCGCCTTTCAGGTCAATGAGCCTTTAGTGGGAAGAGTGACCTTCCAAAATCCCCAAGAGCAGCCACCTTCTTCGGGAGAGGAAGTCATGACAGCAAGGGCCAGCCCACTCCTTTGATCAGTCTGTCCCTGCATCTGAAGGAGGCCTGTTAGCGACAAGTGCTGTGCCAGCAGCATATCACTGTCTGGCTCCTTCACGGCAGCCCCAGCTCCTACTCTGAGTGTTCAGGAGACTGCAAGAGCTCCTAAAACCCTGGTCCCTCAAGGATCTACTCTCTCTTTTTTCTGGTTTTGTCTTTTGTTTTTAATCAGCTGGCTGACGTCCTAGCTATTCAGCGTTTTTCTTGTTAGGGGACGCAAGTGAAAGCATGGCTGTGTGCATGTGTGAACACCCAGAAAGTCCCCATGGGGCAGGCATCTGAAAGAAAAGTTCCACAGGGTTAAACAGCTCTAAATATTGTCTCATAAAATGACTCGCTAAAGTGTGATTGTCACCTGTAATTTCTAGAAACTAATGGTTGTCAAACTGTGGTTGATCAAGAGTGTTTTGCTAGTCTGTGTTATGTTTCTTTCTTTCAATGAGCAACGTGGATCCAGAACTTCTGAAGCCCTGGGAAGAGACCAGCTGGTCAACCTAAAAGTCACAGAGACGTAAAAGCCTGACCTCCTGCCCCTAATTAGTTTTTG